AAATGAGAAAATATAACGAAAGTGCAGTAATTAATAACGGCAGCGCATTCTGAGCTTTCAAGCCTAAGCTCTCGAGGCATGACATGATGAACGTTCACAGAACTTATGCGTCCCGCTCGGCAGCTGCACTGCGACTGGTAGTCTGGGTAGATAGCATTGCCGGCAAAGACAAGGGAGACTGAAATGTCAGTTTCTTGAGAGTTAGTCGTCATCAGTCAGTTATACACAACCCCAAGTGGTTTACTGTTAGGACTGCCAAACGAACAGCCTTAGCAAGCAGTAAGCTTGCAAGCGAAAGCCGCACTTAGAGCAGGCTACTGATCGGCCTAGGCTGGCGAACGTACACAGGCCGTCAATCGATTGATAGTTCAAGATTCAAGCTGAATGTCAGCCCCTGAGTCCCAGCCAATCGCACCGGTGGCTAATCCAGAAGAGAAGCTGATTGGTTCGTGGACCTACCTTACACACGTTCGTCGCCCTAAATTTGTTGTACCTTCTGCACTCAAAGACTTCTGATGTTGCGCTCTCCTTGTCGTGTCCTTCCTTGGGGGACTCACACAAGGCCTTATTGGGCGGTGATATCTCGGCCTGGGCTACCGTTACAAAAGTTTACCACCCAAAGTTCGGATCCACGGGCCCATGGTTCAGTGCTTAGAGCGTAAGAGTTCTGTTCGAAAGGTCGCGGGTTCGATCTCCGGATGGTGCACCACCCGGGGTTGGGTATGACTCACTGATGACGAATAATGAGCCAGAGATGCCATTCTAGTCTCATTTTTCCTTGCCGGTAATGCTATCTGCATAAAGTGAATCCTCTGTTACCCCTTCCAAAAGATTTCTCGAAGTCACAGAATTTAAATAGTAGAATATGCATGGGTTGCATGATATAGATCATGATTGATAGCACGGATACTAGCTAAAAGCCGAGACACGTTTTTAATTCCTTGATAGTTTATGAATATTACGCGGCAATCTCGCTGTGGCCGACGGACTTCGGCCCAAATATTTATATCAACAAATCGAATTGAAGACTTTCCTCAAGATAAGCGCCCACGCCGAAAACAAGGCAAGCCCAAAATGGACTGATGCGTGGTTCACGCATGGGAACTCAATCAATCGACGTATCGATTTGGCGCCGACGTTTAGAGCCCTGCGCAATCACCTCCAGACTTGCGTCACTGATACTTGATTCGCTTGCACTCCCTACACCTCCTGCTGCTGCTTCGGACAAAATTTAAAAAAACCGCAATTTCAAAACTGGAGTATCTGTTGGAAGATATACGGGCGATGATGGGGGGTCAACTAGCGAGGCAAACCTTCGTCGAATGTGTGTAATGCGGCAGCCGAATCTCGGTGCAAATGGACGTAGACTTTTAACGAGTACCTGTGCTGCCATGCATGATATATTATTTAACCTATAGATCCCACGGATGTTCAGGAAGAGCATCAAAAGAGCCCAAATCAAAACCCCAACAAAGCAAATATCTGTAACTGTTACGTTTTGGGCTCACTATTGCACGCAAAAACCCCATCCCTCTGTAACACGGGACCGATAGTAATTGAGGTTAAAGGACTGGGGCATATCAGGTGAAAAAAAATAATTAAGAAGGTAAAGCGTATAAAAGTACAAAATCATAGGAATGCTTATTTAAATGACCCTATCTTTGCGCACGATCATTAAAATACGAGTAACAACCAATTGGAAGCAAGAACTGCGTAATAGTACTCGCGAATTGGATACAATCGTATATCGATTCCATGTCAACTATATATATCGACTTTTTGTAGATTAAAGTAAACCCCGTGAAACATAGGCTTTGTCCCATTTTTTTCAACTCACAATAGCTTCTAAGCTAAAAAAGCAACAGCATGCTGCCAAAAAAAGTAAAACTAAAATAAACTCAAACTAAATTACCAAAAAATAAATTCGAGCAAACTCAAGCTAAGGCCATTATTCGGCATCCGTGTGGGGAGTCAAATTAATACGTGGATGGACTGTGTCTTACGGAGTAACCATACTGGCTAACGAACGCTGGACAGGACTTGTAATTGCCAAAGGCCATTACTCGGCATGAATTACGAAAGTGTCCGCGCGGGATCATTGTTGCACGTGGATGGACTGCGTCGTTCTTGGAAAATTGGTAAAACAAAACATGCCTACGAAATAAGAGATGTTGAGCCCGGTACGAAACTGTCAGCCACATATGG